TATGTGGATAATCCACAGGAAAACCTGTGGTGTTCCTGCTCAGGAGCCTCTGGCCAGGATGCTCAGCAGCCATGAGCCAGTGAGTCTCTGTCAGACAGACACTAGGGCCCCAAGCCCAGAGCTTTTGGGTGTTAGTACCTCAGAATTGTAGAGTCATGAAACCTCCTGAGCTGGAAGAAACCACAAGGATCAGAGTCCAACTCCTGCCTAGGACACCCCAGCCCTGCACCCCGAGCCTGAGAGCATTGGCCAAACCCTCCTGGAGCTCTGGCAGCCTTGGGGCTGTGCCCACTGCCCTGGGGAGCTGTTCAGTGCCCAAACACCTCTGGGGGAAGAACTTTGTCCTGATATCCAGCCTGACCCTCTCCTGACACAGCTTCAAGCCTTTTCCTCAGGTCCTAGTGGTCAGATCTGTGAGTGGGTGAGAGCAAGTGACACAGGAGTGATCTCATCCTGTGACTTGATTAAAAGAGACAGAAAATCATAGAACCATAGAATTCCAGACTGGTTTGGATTGGAAGGACCTTAAAGATCATCCATTTCCACCCCCCGCCATGGGCAGGGATGGTCATTAATCCATTCCAGCAGCATTTCCTTGCAAAATGCTCCCAGATTCCCTCAAGTATTGGTACCTTCAGCTGCAGAATGAGAGTAGTGATGCCTTCCCTTACCCTCTGTTTTCCTGCTTCTCCCTCTCTGAACCTGAAAGGCATCTAATGACACCTCAAAAAACAGGTTAAACGGAAGGTAATAGGAGACCTGTTTCCTTTTCTGCACCTGGGGGAAGCCTGGAATGCTCCTGTTGTCCTCGTGGGGTCAACCACAGTGTGAATCCCAACCCACCATTCCCAAAAAGTGCCCAGTGGGCACAAAACCAGTGCCTGCCAAGGCACTTTGCTCTTGGTTCCACATCCAGAGCCCCAACCAGTTGACTTCAGGCCAAGCTGAGAACTCCACAGTCTCTTACAGTCTATAAAACTGCATTTCCCTCCCATTAAGAGGGAAAACACTTTCATGTTGCTGGAAAAGACTCGGAAAAGCTAATGTTTTCTCTGCCTTCCTGGTGTAATATTCTGTGTAAAATAATCTGCCTGACCTCACTGAGACAAACTTGAAAGGAATAAGGGGGGGGGGAAGCACCAAAGCCCCCAAACCTTGTGGTTTAGCCAAGTTGGCTGTGTGTTCTGTTTATTCCAGTGTCTCAAACATCAACCCTGCAAGCCAAGGGGATAAAATGTTGCCTTGTCTTTTTCCTGCTAGTCCCTTCAAATTACTCCTTGCCAAAACTTCTGGGGACATGGGGAGGCTAAGAGGGCAGTGGTACCATCTCCTGTGCCAAGGTCTTCTTCATCCAACAGCTGGAGGTTGGGCTGACTTCCACCAAGTCCTGTCTGATTTGTGGCACATCCTCATGGCCAAACTGCCACCTCAGCAGAGCCAAACCAGTTTCCAAGCATCTTCCTGCTGCTCATTTTCATCCTGCTGTGCTGGAAAAGGGAAGCTTGGGCTTGTGGTCAATGCTCTGGGCTGGGAGGAGTGTCTGCCACAGGGTCACTGCCTGACCATGGTCAAGTCACCTCATTTCTCTGCCATTTGGTTTTCCATCTATAAAAGAGGCATAATAACAGTCCTGGGCTGTAGAGAGGTGAGCTGAGGACAACTTGCCTGCTCTTTGAGCAAAGTGTTCAGAGGAGAACTTCAAAGTAAAGCTAATAAACACAGAAAACCAAGTCACCCTCCCAAAGCTCTGCCCATGCATTTCCAGTGGCTTGGGAAAACATTGCTAGTTGTTGAAGTTTCCTGACACAGTTCTTCACTTGTCTTCTGCAGAGCTTCAGCCAAGCAGGTTCTGTGGTGCCTCCTGCAGTAGTCAGAGTGGGAGAGAAGGTTAAATTGGTCTCATTGGGGGTGGTGGGGTGGGAAGAAACACTGTTGGAGCTACATCTTGAGGTGGCAACTGCATGGAGTTGCTTGAGGAGGGCTATGAAGCTGATAAGAGGATTAGAGAACCCTCCCTACGAACACAGGCTGAGAGAGTTGGGGCTGTTCAGCCTGGAGAAGAGAAGGTTGTGTGGAGACCTCAGAGCAACCTGCAGGAGCTGAAGGAGCTCCAGGGAAGCTGCAGAGGGATCTGTGTTAGGAGCTGCAGGGACAGGACAAGGAGCAATGGGGAGAAATTGAAAGAGGAAAATGTAGATGAAATGTTAGGCAGAAGTTTTCCCTGTGTGGGTGGTGAGACACTGGCTCAGGTTGCCCAGGGAGGCTGTGGCTGCCCCAGCCCTGGCAGTGTTCACAGCCAGGTTGGATGAGCCTTGAGCAACCTGCTCTGGTGGGAGGTGTCCCTGCCCAGGGCAGGGGTTGGGGCTGGATCATCTCTAAGCTCCATTCCAACCCTTTAACATACTATGAAACTCTGAATCTAAGCATTTCCTGCCCAAAATTGCAATGTATGCACAAAACCCACAGCAGATTCTGCTGAGGAGGAACCTATTGTTGCTGGTCTTTCTTCCCTGAGCACATTGACATGAGTGGAATTTCCACAAGCCCAAGGGATGAGACAGATCTTGGCTGTGTCCATGGATCCCTGGTACCTCCAGGCTATGGAGGAGGCCCCATGCAGGAGACTGCAGGGTGAGATATCTTCTTCAAGGCCCAGAATTCAATGGAAGCTCTGAGGTAGCACAGGTCTAGGTTGAGAGGGTCCCAGAGTTTCCCTTGGTGGTTGGGAGGATCAGGTTAGACATCAGGAGGAATTGATGGGCTGTCAGGCATTGGAATGTGCTGCCCAGGGAGGTGGTAGAGTCACCATTCCTGGAGGTGTTCAAGGAACCACTCAGTGCTCTGGTTTAGTTGCCAAGGTGGTGATGGGTCACAGGTTGGACTTGATGGGCTTGGAGCTGTTTTCCAACCTCAGTGATTCTGAGACAGACAGAGATAATTCCATGAACTTGGAAGGAGCCAGCCTGGGAATGGAGTGACCTGAGGAGGATGCTGTGCCTGGTTCATTTGCCCTCCTCACCCTTTGCCCACTGGTTTGTGCAGACTGAGCTTGGGTTTGTCTGCCCTGCCCAGAGTTCTGTGCCAGCCTGACGCAAATTTAGTGCTTGAGCTAGATCCAAAGCAGAGAAGTTATTCCTGCCCCAGCAGCCCTTGTCCTGTTGGCTTCAGAGGAAGTGGCACTGCTGGGATGGCAGGAGGAGCAGGAGGGGAAGGTGGTGTAGCAGAGGGTCACACTTGGCCTCCACACACTCCCCTCAGTGTAAGGAGATGTCTGAGGAGAGCTTAAAATCAGGAATAAATACCATTATGGGGCTGGATTTGGAAGGAGCTGACTCTTGGCTCTGCAAACCTTGGACTGAGCCTGCTGAAGCCTAAAATAATCCAAATGTATGAGGTATTTTACACACCTTCTATGACTCTGCACGTTGGCCTTCAACCCTGGGGTCAGGAGCCCAAGGCTGGAAGCAGCTTCCAGCTTTGCTCTGCTGACAACTGAAGCATTTGCTCTTGTCCAACCAGAATGGCAGATAAAAGTCCTTTTCATCTGTCTTTCCTTCTCATTGAAGCCCTTAATGGGTCTCTTTAATGCTGAAACCACCTACTATATAATATATCTTTTTATATTCTAATTCCTTCCCTCTTCCCCTTGGGATAATTTACAGCACAAGGGTGGAATCTGAGCCACTTCAAGCTGTGCCAAAGGGCCTGGCAAGAGGAAGCAATGCCTAGCCACTGAGATTTGGAACCAGGAGACAAGTTATAAAGTTTAATTTTAGCAATGCAGCTACTGGGAACTGCTTTTAAATCCACATTTTCCTTTTAGTGCTTGAAATGCGTCTCAACTGAGCTCTTAGGGTGGCATGAAAGAGAGCTCTGTAGGGGAAGGGACCTACAGGGCTCTGCAGAGAACTTGTGCTGCTTAGTCACTGATGGGCAGCGTTAGAAGGTGGATTTTTCAGGGATGTTGGTGGATTAAATACTCCAGGGATATGTGGGAGAGGGCACAGGGGAGTGTTTTTAGGGGATTTGTGGCAGTCTTTAATCACTGTGAGTTGAGAGAGGTACTGGGCACATCCTCATGAAGAGGGTGGAGATGCAAAGGAAGCAAAAAGTAACTCTTAACAACAAGGAAAGGAAAATCAGGAGTAGATAGAGAGCAAATTGTGGTGTTCAGTGGAAACCAAGGATGATGCCAACTTTTTATACACAGGTTTGGGTTGGAAGGAGCTTAAAGCCCACCTAGTTCCACCCCCTGCCCTGGGTAGGGACACCTCCCACCAGCCCAGGCTGCTCCAAGCCCCATCCAGCCTGGCCTGGAACACTCCCAGGGATGGAGCAGCCGCAGCTGCTCTGGGGAACTCCAAGGGCTGCTCCAAGGAGTGCTGGACCTTCATTCCCATGTGGCCATGACCAAGTCCACTGTGGACTGTAAATTCAGCATCTTCTCTCTTAGAGTTGGATGTCTGCTGGGAATTGTGAAGCTCCTGATGCCTCCAAGAGATGCTTCAATATTCCAGTTCCAATTCTGCCAACCTGTGGTGTTTATTTCCTATTCCTCCCTGTAAAGCCATTGCAAAAGGATCCGAAAATGGGATTGGTTTGGGGTTGGTTATTTTATAGCCCCATAGCACTTGTTTAATGCACCTTAGGACATGGGATTGAATTTTTGAGGAGTCATTCCAGAGGAGCTTTAGCACAGGAACCACTTGACATCTCTTAGGAACTACTTCTCCTTGTGGGAGGTATAGGAAAGCTAAATTTCTAGTGGATGTGATTCTTCAGGCTAGGCCACATCTCAGCTGACCTTTGGCAATGATCCCATGGCAATGCCTGACTTGTGTCTCCTGCCCTTGCAGAGAGGTGGTTTGGCTTTCAGACAGAGCTTAGCCACTTGGCTCAAGGGTTAAAATAGAAGGAAAAATGAAGTAAAAATAACCTAAACCAACAGAGCTCATGGTTCAGTGAGATTTTCTGATCTTTTTCCCCCCCTCCCACACTAGGACATCGTCAGAAACTAGATGAGCAGACAAAGCCTGGGAGCTTGTCCTTTTCAGAGCGCCTGAGTGAACTGGAGCAGTTGCGTCGCACGGCAATGAGGGTCAGCCCACACCACCCAGCCCCCACACCCAACCCACGAGCCTCCTTGAACCACACCACTGCTTTTAACCCTCAGCCTCAGAGTCAGATTCAGGGTAAGTACCTGAAATCCTCCTCCTCCTCCTCCTCCTCCTCCTCCTGCTCGTCCATCTCCACCTCAACCAGCCTGTGGCCCCACCAAGGTGTTGCTCCCCTTGTCCCTCCATTTCTCCTAGGCTCTGCTTGGTCACATTTCACAAGTGAAAGACTTTAAGGAGTGAAAGGAGAGGTTGAACAACATATATTGCTATTTTAATGACCTGTCAGTGTTCATAGAATCATAGATTCATAGACTGTTAAGGGGTTGGAATGGAGCTTAGAGATGATCCAGCCCCAAACTCCTGCCCTGGGCAGGGACACCTCCCACCAGAGCAGGTTGCTCAAGGCTCATCCAACCTGGCTGTGAACACTGCCAGGGTTGGGGCAGCCACAGCCTCCCTGGGCAACCTGGGCCAGGGTCTCACCACCCTCACAGGGAAAAGCTCTGTTCCTCTGAAAGAAAACACATATTATTATGGCTACTCAGCAGCCAGAGGTGACGTGGGTGGAGGAATCGGTCACAGCCTTGCATTCTTCAGCTTCTTGGGAACACTATATGCTTAGCAGAGTATCAGGTTTAATATCCAGTCTCTCTCTTCCCTGCTCCCCTGTGAAAGGCCCTCATGGAGCAATGGGTTTTCCACGCTCAGCCATGGATCCAGCTGCTCTCTCCAGAAACAGTTGCAGGACTTTGTTCTGTTTTGCTCCCGGCAAATGAGGTTTTAATGTGTTTCACCTGTGGATGGAGCTCAGGAAGTGACTGAAGCACTAATGTTGCCTCATGGATACTTTCCTCTGTTTCTCCGGGTTCCCCCATTCCCTCTGCCTCCAAAATGTGTGTTATCCATGGAGAAACTAGTTGAGGGTTTCTGTCTCTATCAGTAAAATAAGGCCCAAACTGGAGTCTCTCTTATTTGGGACTCTCTTTGCTGGAGATGCCTTTGAACTTCAAGGGCTCATCCTTTCATGGTCGTGTTATCACCGCAGGGGAAAAGGAATAGGGTGGGAAGGAGCTTCAGCACCATCATTTTTCATGGGATCATCGAATTTTAGGGGTTGGAATAGAGCTTAGGGATGATCCAGCCCCACCCCCTGCCCTGGGCAGGGACACCTCCCACCAGAGCAGGTTGGTCAAGGCTTCATCCAACCTGGCTGTGAACACTGCCACCTCCACTGAAACTCTCACTGAAGAGAGCACAGAGCTCTTATTCTAGGCATAAATTAGGTCTGAACCCCCATACACTGCCAAATCCCAAGCAGTAGCATTAAACTTAGCTTTAACCCACACCAGC